TATTTTTTAATTAGTGTTAATTCGGTTAATATCGTTATTATTACAGAACATCACGATGCCACATCAGTGGATGGAAGGAAACTTGTCAGTGTCCTCAAAATGTTTTGTCTGTGAAAAGACATGTGGCTCTGTACTTAGGTATTCGTTTATACTTCAGAATTTATTTTTATATAAAAAGTTTATTACCTTAATAGGCAAATTGTGAAAATTGCACAAAAATGGCATTATAAATAACGACGATCCTGCAATGATTGTACTAAGATAATTCGCCATAACGCAACAGTTTTGTCGAAATAAAATTTTGTAAATAATATTTGTCAAAAATTGCGAAAAAGTCGTTATGCATTTCCATAAGTATATATAAGAATTAAGTTGATTTCTTCATATGCAATTATATATTTCTCTACATATTTTAAACATCACATAGCTGAAATTTTTTTCTCAATTATTGGACAATTTCTTTTTGAACTTAATTTTGCAAATGTACTGCTAAGATGATTTGCTATATCGTTATTCTTTTGCCAAAATAGTATTTGGAAAGTAATGTTGCAAACAACTATAAATATTTTTTAAAATATCCATGTTTTTACATCTATTTCCTAAAATATATCTGTATAATTGCAAATTACAATTTTAGTGCAAGATTTCGTCATATAATTTTGTAAAAGTTTTCCTATCAGGGTAGCATTGAGCAAAAATCTATAAAAAATAATATATTTTTATAATATATATTTGTAGACTTCAGGATTGGCGGTGTTTATGGTGTAGAGCAACTGTACACACAGCATGCAGACCTGCCATAAGTATTAAATGTCCGCTAGGACCAGTAAAACTTAGTGTAGTTCCTCCCACGGCTTTGTATTTAGGTAACTATGTTACTATCTGGTTATATATTAAAAATAAGATCTCTGTGATCATAATCTTTGTAAAAAGAAATTTGTCTAATAAATAATATGGTAATTGATCATTAGGTAGTGATGATGCCTGGGAAGTTGTTAGACCTACAGGGTGCAGTCCACTTTTAGTATACGTAAATAGTAAATCTGGTGACAATCAAGGTGTTAAGTTTCTTAGGAGGTTTAAACAGTTACTAAATCCCGCACAAGTATTCGATCTTATAAAAGGAGGACCAGGTCCAGGGTAAACACACATTTTTGTATGTAACAACAATGGCTACGTCCCAATATTCATTATCAATACTAAAAATTTATATTTGTATATATATTGAGAGGTGACCTCCGATTCGAAATGGTGAATCCAAATGATACGTTGGAATAATCAGCTAATGCGAACCAGTACAGGGTGTTTTGCAGTAATTGGTGTATAGAGAAAATACTTTTTAACAAAACGTTCCGACTTTTTATTTAAGTCATCCTTAGTTGTACACTATTTGTTCTGCCAAAGTATGTATCGATGATAAAAATTTATACTTTACATCACATGTGCTATAGATTTCCAATATTGACAGTGAATATTGGAACGTAGTCCACGAATTAATCACAAAAATGTGATTTATTTATCATAAGAAAAACTGTATACGCAAGTGCAGTAAGTGTACAAAGTGTATTTTTTTCAAGTAGATTAAGATTGTTCCGTCACTTTAATCCGTTCCGGATTCTAGTATGCAGTGGAGATGGATCCGTGGGATGGGTACTTTCAGAAATTGATCGACTTGGAATGAATGTGAGCCAACGCTTGTTTTACCATTGACTTCATTGATCTATTTCGGCATGATTTTTTACACAATTATCATTTATTCTCAATTTTCATTATTCTAATCAAGGCACATATTTCTTTCTCTGCACATTGCTTTTATACAATCTTTTACAGTAATTACTTTTATGTACTATTCATAAAGTATACCTCAATAAGCAAATTGTGAAAATATTGCACAAAAATGGCATCACGAATGACGACGATTTTGCAATGATTGCACTAAGATGATTCGCCATAACGCAACAGTTTTGTCGAAATAAAATTTTGTAAATAATATTTGTCAAAAATTGCAAAAAAGTCGTTATGCATTTCCATAAGTATATACATGAATTACGTTGATTTCTTCATATGCAATTATATTTCTACATATTTTAAACATCACATAGCTGAGATTTTTTTCTCAATTATTGGATAATTTCTTTTTGAAATTAATTTTGCAAATATACCGCTACAATGATTCGCCATATCGTTATTCTTTTGCCGAAATAGTATTTGGAAAGTAATGTTGCAAACAACTATAAATATTTTATAAAAGATCAATGTTTTTACATCTATTTTCTAAAATATATCTATATAATTGCAAATTACAATTTTAGTGCAAGATTTCGTCACATAATTTTGTAAATGTTTTCTTATCAGGGTAGATTTGTAATATCGCAGCTAATGTTAATTAAATTTTTCGAGCTTTTTATTATAAACAAGCATGGCGTATCTTTTTTTAAATTTTATTCCAGATAAAACTGTGTGTATGGTATGTATTACGTTTCTTAATGTGTACAAAGCTTTGTTATTTTACAGGCGGTAAGTACGAACATTTGCATCTCTAAAAACCTTATTTAAAACTTTTTATATGCTTGTTTTATTAAGAAAAAATTTATCAAAATATATATTAAAACATATACATTAGATAAATTAAATATTATTAAAAAATTATATATATGCATATATATATATATATATATATATAAATTATATACAGGGTATCTCAGAATTGGTGTAACATCTCTCATAGACAGGTAGAAGGAGTAAAACTGAGTCGATAAGTCCTATACTATTTTTTGCTAGATTCGCAATAGTTACCGAGATTTTAATTAACAAAGATCCGCGAATAAGCGTGCATCGGGCTGTCTTACGCGCGTAGGACAGCCCGGCACGTTTCGCACGATAACATCTTAATATGTATATGTTATAGTATATGCTGTTATATTAGCTCCTTCTATATGTTGCTACGGGCAACACCGTAAGCGCGCAAAGCGCACTGGGCTGTCTTACGCGCGTAAGACAGCCCGATGTATGCTTATTCGCTGATCTTTGTTAATTAAGATCTCGGTAACTATTGCGAATTGAGCAAAATGGTAAGATTTTTTGACTCAGATTTACTCCTTCTATTTGTTCACGAGAGATGTTACACCAATTTTGGGACACCCTGTGTATACAGGGTGTCTGATAACGAACTAGAAAGCCGACGTGTGTAGATAGATCGGGTCATTCTAAACAGAAAAGTTATTTACCATTTTGCAAAATTCGCAATATTTATTGAGATATGAATTAATAAATGTGAGCCAATGAGGGCGCGGGGAGCAATGATCGGACTCTATAGGCGTGCACGATGTTAAGAAAAATGGTTTCTCTCATATAATGTTCTTAGTAACGAGAGGCGGAGTAACCAAACAAGCGCGGCACGATTCAGTTTCTTGCAATCGGGCGCTATTCGGCGGTATGCAGCGAGCAGCGGCGAGCGAGGAGTAGAGCTGATAATTATGCACGCCTATAGAGTCCGATCATCGCTCTCCGCGCCCTCATTGGCTTAAATTTATTAATTCATATTTCAATAACTATTGCGAATTTTGCAAAATGGTAAATAACTTTTCTGTTCAGAATAACTCGATTTACCTACACATGCCGGCTTTATAGTTCGTTGTCAGATACCCTGTATATACAGGGTGTCCCGTAATTGCCGTCTCACCGCTCGTAGGCAGGTAGAAGAAGTTATTCTAAGACGAAAAGTCCTATACCACTTTGGAAGATTCGCAATAATTAACGAGATATTAATTAATAAAGATCCGCTAATCAGCGTGCATTCAGTGTAAGGACAGCCCAGTCTGTCGCGCCGTAGCGACGGAATACAATAGCGCGGATGGCATCCGGTGAGACGGCAATTACGAAACATCCTGTATATAAATTGTGTGTGCGTGCGCGCGCATATACACACATATATATAATTATAATGTGTATATATATACAGGGTGATTCAGAACAACCCGTTATCCTTGAAAATACATATTCTTGACTAAATTCTAAGACAACTTTTTATCTGGCAAAATTTTCTCTGAAGCTTACTTTTTGAGTTACTAATAAAAATAGTTGACGTACCATAAGTCGGATCCAAGANGTAGGCAGGGGCGGCGCAACTCACCGTGATTGACAGTGATTTATGTGATGCACGGATTAAATGATACAAATTACGAATGAGTAAATAAATAAGTGAAAGAAAGAGAGAGAGAGAGAGAGAGAGAGGGATAGAAACAGTGCGTAGCGATCAGGTGATCGCGTTAGGCACCACACGTAATCGCTCGCGTCTGATGGTGAGTTGCGCCGCCCCTGCCTACCTCTTGCATCCGACTCATGGTAAGTCAACTATTTTTATTAATAACTCAAAAAGTAAGTTTCAGACAAAATTTTGCCAGATAAAAAGTTGTCTTAGAATTTAGTCAAGAATATGTATTTTCAAGGATAACGGGTCGTTCTGAATCACCCTATATATATATATATATGTATATACACATATGTATGTATATGTGTACAGATAATTATATTGTGTTTTTATTTTAATTTACAGAAGCAATGTCAGGTTGGAGTATTACCTTTAGGAACAGGAAATGACTTAGCACGTGTATTAGGCTGGGGGTCGTCGTGCGATGATGACACGCACTTACCTCAATTATTAGAAAAATATGAAAAAGCAGGTACAAAGATGCTAGATCGATGGAGTATTATGACATTTGAACGTATGTCTCTGACAACTTGCAAAACCAGTTTACATCAAGATGATTACTCTAGAAAACCGAGCGTAGCTCATCAGTATGAGGACAGTGTTCTTGCTCATATAACAAATATTTTGCAATCTGATGAAGAATCCGTAATTATATCTAGTGCCAAGTAAGTGATTTAATTTAATTTACACGTGCACACTTAATTTAATTATAAAAAATTTAATTATAAAAAAATTGCACAAGTTAAAACACGAGTTAAAAATTACGAGTGTAAAACTTTAGCTATTACTCCTCTAAGTTTATTGCGGATAGAGTGTAAAATGCAAATAAAAAGTATCATTCTGGTTGGATATGGACTGGAGGTATTATAGGATTTGCCACTATAAAATTATCAGAATCTTTAAACATGTATAGATATTGTAAATTCTAAACTAAGATTTTCTTCTACAGAGTTTTATGTGAAACAGTAAAAGATTTCGCATCACATATACTGAAAGTCAGTCTAAACACAGGGGACCAAGATTTGAGAGAAAAATGTGAAGTACTTCAGCAGAAGCTTGAACTATTAGTACAGACATTATCAAAGGAAGAGAGTTATTTCTCTGATAACACAGAAGATACTGATACTTTAAAACTTGAAGCTTTGAGTAGTAACCAAGACGACGATAATTTAGAAAAACCATTAAAAGATATAACAAATGTAAAAAGAGGTACAAAAAAGCGTTATATAGAAAGAGATACAGTAATGTCTAGGTACGGAATGCATCTTAATTCTTTTGAATTTAAAAACGAAATATATGTCTTTTAACTACTCAAGAGATAATATTTAAAAAGAGTACACATACACACACACACACATACATCTAAATTCGCCGGCAAATTAATATGATTGATTTCCGAGCTCTCGGATCTCTTCATAGAATAAAAAATATTGCTATATTTTCTGAAAAGTGTGAGAGAAATTACATCTTGTTGAAAGTAATCATGCATGCGCGCGTGTGTATGTGTGTGTATGTGTGTGCATGTACATACGTACATGGAGAAAAGATATAAGGTAAGTCATTGCACATAATGGCGGCAAAAGAGTGGGTAACATACTTGTCAATCAATCAAGGAAGGCCCATTTTATGTGCGCGGAATGTAAACGTACACAGGTGATTATAGATAAAAACAATATTGTAAGTTTAAAGAACAATATGTTAATAAATAATAATATATAATAATAATGTTAGAACAATAATATATTAATATACACTTATATATACAGCATGAACTAACACTGTATACATAGGTTACAAAAGCATGCCGTCAGCCATACTGATATTTATAAAATGGGCTTCTCATGATTGGCTGTCCGCTCCCCACTATTTTTAGACTACTGCGCATCAACAGGACTGACTCGCCTTATATCTTTCCATTATGCGTGCGTGCATACGTACGCGTATGTACACAGCGCGTCAGGAATTCGAAGAGTAGGCGCGAGGATCGGAGAGCAAGCGGGCCGTACGATTCGTACAGCGCTTCTTGGCGAGCAATCGCTTCGCTTGCCCTCCGATCAGTGTGCCCAGTTTTGACTCTCTTACAGCACGCTACAGCAAGTGGAGGGGATACGCACACAGGCAAGCAGCCGTGTACGTGTGCGCTCGACGCTTCGGCCGTCTTCGGGCGGTAGAAGAGAACAGAGATATGTCTACTGTCTCTTTCTTTCAACATAAACATAGCGTACGCGGCTAACGCGAGCGGTTAAGCCTCGCTCTAGCAACTGTATATCAATTTTCGGCGTTTGCTCGTTCTTGCACTTATTACTTATAGAAACATTTCGATTTAATAAAAAAATATTAACATCATAAAAGAATAATTAGAAAAATGAAACATATGAGGAGCATAAATGAAAAGTGAAGAAT